TCAGTGTGACGGTACCAACTGGTTTGGACCGGATCTGGTCAGTGTGACGGTACCAACTGGTTTGGAACAGATCTTGAAAGTGTGACGGTACCAACTGGTTTGGACCGGATCTGGTCAGTGTGACGGTGCCCAGCAGGATGTGACGGACCAATCAGAATCCAAATCCATTAATACCTGAAGCTAAAGCGGTAGGGTCGGTGCTGACAGTAACCCCCTCCAGGGGGTGCCTCCCCACCCCCAGCTACCACATGTAGGTCTTGGATGTGTTGATGGGATTCCTCCCGGCCTCCCCCCTCGCTCCCCCCTCCCCATCCTCCTCCTCCTTCTCCTTGTCCTTCTCTGCCTCGCTCTCCCACAGCGTGATCAGAGGCGGGTACAGCTCGTTCAGCGGGATGGACGCGGTGTGCTGCATGTACTTCTTCAGCGAATGGCCGCAGGACTTGTGCTGCTGGACGCGGCGGCCCATGTACACCACCAGCAGCGTCATGATGGACAGGGCGAACATGGAGCCCAGAACGGCGGCCAGCGCCACGCCACCGGGTTGCGACGCCACCAGCTCCACAGAGAAACCCGCCTCCTTGGTGGTGAAGTTCAGGCAGGATGTGTGGACGGCGGCGGAGGGGAGGGGCGGCAGGGAGGAGGACACGGTGAGGCAGACGTGGTACTGAGTGGCAGGGAGAAGGTGGGTCAGATTGTACTCCTGGACATCAGCTGGAACCTGCAGAGAAGGAAGGATCAGAAAACGCCTCAGATTAACAACTAGGAAACCGAACGTGGACACCGCGCTTTTATGAAGGTTATTTAGTTTCAAAACTATCTGTGCATTGTAAGTGTGAATTTGGAGTTACAGTCTAAGTTTTGTATTTGTAGAATAAAAAAAAAAAAAAAATCAAAAAGGCAAATTTTTTTTACACCTGGTCAAGTAAACAAATTCTTCTCTACAAGTTGCACATCAAAAACCTAGCAAATTCTCAGTTTTGCTCCAAATGTTTCACAACTATTATTGCAAAACTATTTGTGCATTGTAACTTTGGTGTTTTGTAATTGTAGATTTTTCTTAATCTGTCACAATTACACCAAAGTTACACCTCTTCAAATTCTTGATTACAAATCAAAAGTGTTTTCCATTGAGTTTTGCTATGGTTGATCTAAAACAAGTTCAAACAAGTGTGTTAAAATCAGTGTTGCATTTTTTGGCCCCAATCCTGGCTGTGCGGTATCGGTATCGGCCGATACCGCACAGCCACAGTCTGTTTGAATTTAATGTGTGTGTATATATGAATAACTACATAATACTTGTAAAAATATTGCCATCATGGCTTCATGTCAAGCTGCTGCCTACCTTTGTGAAGCAGGTGTGGTTTTTTCCTTGGATGTTAGTAAGGTTAAATGTTAAAGTGTGCCGTTTTTCTCCTCCTGAATAGGGGGATTGTTTAGAGGCTTTGCTTCATTCTTAGTGCTGACATGTAGGGAAAGGAAGGAGGTTTGAAAAGGAGTTTCCTCTCTAGGTTAGATAAGGGGGAAACATAGATAAACAGGTCCTTATTGTGTTTAAGATCCTCACGTCCTGTCTCTGGTGTGAACGGAAAACAGTTGTCTGACATGTTTATCTGAACAACTTTATGTCCTTTGATGAAGTGTTTCTGTTGGGAAGACTCAATGTTCGTGTGTAAGAATTCTCTACATATGCATTCCTTGCATATCAACTCTCAGTGCTCATTTTTACTCCACACAGGAAAAAGACTAAAACAAAGTGAATCCAGTAAAACTTTTTATTGCCTACCTGGAATGGGTGACAATAGTTGAAGAAACTTTTGGCTCTAAAAATGGTATATTTGTTGGTACTCTCCGATACCCATACCACCACTTTAGTGCGGTTGGTATCGCTGCAACACTAATTAAAATCTTTAAAGAAAAATAAAAAAATTATATATTTTTTTTCCTTAACACAAATACAAATCAATGAATACAACTGCACAAATCTTCTGCTGTGAGTCACAAATTCAACTTTACTAGTTACGCCTTCATTGTCATTTTTGACACTAATGTCACAGCGGTAAACATGATCTGTGACTTTTGGGTAGTACCTTTGATCGGACAGCAGGGGGCGCTGCCTGCTTGGTCAGGCTCTAACAACCGGAAATACATAATAATAATTCATTTAATTTATACTGCACTTTTCACCAAAAAGGCCTCAAAGTGCTACAAAAAAAGCATTAAAAAAGAAATACATAGAAATAAAAGAAATAAAATAAATTAAAAATATATATATAAAATGAAATAAAAAATATAAAATAAAATAAAAAAAGCTGTTATATGCTGTCATATATGGCGTACTGCCATGTTTCTTCTGTCGGTTATCCCTGCGAGAATTCGTATCCCGTCGTCGGGAGCGTGCACGAAGTAGATACAGCTGATCAGTTCACTCCGCCTCAATTCCAACCGACTAGACGTGAATATTTAGATGTGTTATGTTTATGAAAGATGGCCGTTGGTATTTTATTCTTCACCTAACGTTATAGCAGAATATCGCCAGTGATCTTGATTTAAAAAACTAAAAACATGAGCGTTTGCTTTAAAACAGGAAGCTGACAGCAATGTTTACTCCTTTCTCTGAAAGCAAACGGCTCCTCGTTTGTTTCAACACGTTCCTTAAAAATTCTCTCGTTTAACGGTGTCTAAATGTTCTCATCTCGTTAAAAACTGTTGTCAACCATATTCTCGTAATAAAAATGAAATAGTAAATGGAGTGTACTGCACAAAATCCAGTCTGGATCAAAGAGGAGAGGAGGGGCGGACCTACTGGAGCCTGGTGTCGAAGGATGGCTCACCTTGGCGGTGTAGCTGATCTGAGGGTTGTCGATGTGAACCACAGCGCTGGTCCAGCGAGGCAGAGGCAGCGCAGCGTCGTGCTGGTTCTGGTTCTGACCCACAGCGCCTCTGCTAGAGTACAGCTTCCACTCCAAGACCACGGACTGGGCATGGACCACCTGGACAGAGGACACCAGGAGCCACATGACTGTCCTGCTGGGATGAGGCAGAGGAACTAACTCAGGATCCGGGACTGGATCGGCACCTTAGCCAGAACCACCAGAGAGGCTGCAGAGCTGGAGGAGTTCCCGGCCCACAGCCTCCGCTTGCTGCTCCCTCCTTCAGACCCTAGAAAGTCCACAGACACGGAGACGCTCCTGGTGTCCGCGCCCTCCACGTTCCAGGCCACACAGGTGTACACACCTGAGGAGAGACGGCATTAGAGCAGAACAACGGCGGCGCTGAAGGTAGAACCCAGGAGGACACGGACCTGCGTCTGAAGGCTCGGCTTTTTCAATCACTAAAGCTCCCGGCTCAAACATGTGATGCTTCTTCCTCTTCTCCTTCTTTATCCTGCCCAGGCCACGCCCCTCCTCCGATATGATTGGTGCAGCCACAGCTTCGGAGCTCACCTGAACAGGAAGAGTTTAAACTGTTTCAGAACGACAGATATTAAAGAGTTCAGATTGGAATCAGATCAGGTACTCAGATCAAATGATGTTTGGACTTTGACTAGGCCAGCGCAGCAAAGAGATTCTTTTCTCTGTTCTGCTAACCTTAGTCCTGCAGTCATCTTTAGCGGCTGTAGCTACCAGATCCGCTTCCTCCCAGTGACGCTACGCTACATGATTGGCTGAATGTTGCCACAAGATGTAAAGGATTGTGGAAAACATTGTAAAACATCTGTAGCGTTAGCGTGTCTAATGACCGATGAAGTTTTACCTGATTGATAACAAAACTGTAAATAAAGAGCTGGGTAGCGCTGTGGCTAGCTGTGCTCAGTAGCTAACAGGTTAGCCTCTTTTAGCTCAGTCAGTTAGCCACATTAAGCTACACTAATTTTAACTTTGTGTCAACAACTGTTTTGATTTCTAAAAGTAGAATAACTGTTTTATTTGTCTAAATTCTCCATAAAAGTCATTTTTAAGTTGTTCCATTTGTCCTCTTCTGCCCTCAGATCTTAATAAGAAGAATGAAAATAAGCTGACACTTTTAGTGTAACCTTGTTAAATGGCAGAACTCAGTCTGACATCATGCTACGTTCAGACCGAACGCCGCAGAAGCAGCAGAAGCAGCTAGTTTCCATGCAAAGTCAATGGTTGACGTGCATCAAGGTGCAGTAAAAGGTCCTTCACCTTTTTACCCACTGATCACAGCAGATATAGCAGCCATTGTTCCAGGCAAAGGAAGAATAGGGTAGCTCCGCCCACCGCGCATCAGACCCACTTTAACACCGCGCAGTTAGAGCAAAAGAGATGCTTCAGCTGGACGTCAGAAACAAACTGGTACAAGCATCAGAAATGAAGCAGCATGCGCTGCTCCTGCAGCCGGCGGCGCTTCCCTTCCAGACCGACAATGATTGTTTTCTACTTTCGGCTCCTTTAGATCGCTGATGAAACGTAAAATAATAGCAAATACGGGGAATAATATTTTAAGAACAGCAGAGAATAGAATTCAACTGTATTGTAATTCCACTGTCGCAAGTACAGAGCAACGAAATTCACTCCTTGCATTTAACCCCTCCCCTTTGCGGAGCAGTGGGCTGCCATTGTGCGGCGCCCGGGGAGCAGTGTGGGTTTAAAGGCCTGGTTATCCTCCCGCAGCAGTGTGTCGCAGTGAGCTTGTCGCAGATATTTTTGGTTTATGCTCAATATTGAAACGTGGTCTGCTCTATGTTATTCCACGCCATAACGCCAGAGGGCCAATCAGGAACTAGCTGTGGGTCTAGATACGGCCGAGGCGGTGAGAAAGTGGAGGCAAGTTTGTGCAAAAACGGAGGGACATGAGGGCCAAAAAGAGCGGAGATCCAGGTGGAAAAAGTGTCCCAGCGTTCTTGCGCACCTCGCTCTGCTAGCTGCTCTATCTTCACCAGTCGTTTTCCACAATGGCGGTCAGACAAACAGAACAAGGTGGTAAGGAACCCAACAGGAAATACGCATAGTGTAGAGCGGGTGTAGATCTGACCAATCAGAGGCCTCCTGTCTGCGGCATCTTTCCGTTCACTGCGACAAACACGCAGACCACCTGGTTTCTGAGCATAAATCAGCCTTAAGCGTCTTGCTCAGGGATCCAGAGTGACAGTCTGTGGGAGTGGGGCTTCAACTCACAACCTCTAGGATCCAAGCACTATGCCCTGACCATCAGGCCACCACTCCCCTAAAGGCTCCTCTAGACTCCAGAGGAGATCAGATTTTTAAGAAACAGGTTCAATACAGTTTGTGCAAGTGGCATTGCCAAATGATGACATAATAAGGAAGGACAGGGGCCCCGAGCAGATCAGGTACCTACGCCAGCTAACTGTGGCATGTAGGGTCTGAGGTGGACTCCCAGGTTTTATGCTATCTGTTTAGACCTCCTCTTCCGGAAAGGTTGGCAGCTGTCTGAAAAGCTATAGACGCTAATGACCAATGATGTTAATAACTAAAAATTATAATGGCTACAGAAGCTAATAAGTACAGATGCTAATGACAACAGATGCTAATGGCTAAAGACTCTTATAACTACCGACACTTTTAACTAGCCTCGTGAGACCATCCTGATCTCGCGAGCTTTCAAGGTTTCACTCGCAGATCCGTCTGGAGACTCTCCGCAGAGATGGGAAGTAACGAAGTACAAATACTTCGTTACTGTACTCAAGTAGATTTTTCTGATATT